AGTATTTATACAATTATTATAAATACCTTCTCATATAAACCAGAGAGAGAGAGAGAGAGGGGGAGGGAGAGAGAGAGAGAGAGGTCGCTTACGCGCGCACGTTATAATTCGCGTCGTGAAAGGTGCTAAAACGAGGACTCGAGGGCGAGACGAGAGAGCGAGAGAGTAACAAAGAGAGAGAGAGAGAGAGAAAGAGAGAGAGAGAGAGAGAAAATAGAGGCGTTCGGGGATAATTGCAGGAAACGCGAGTGAAACGGCGACCGCAGTTGGACTCGACTAGTCGGGAATCCTCGCGACGTTCCGCTTCGCCGCCGCGGAATCCGTCTAGCGGAAAGCAACGACGTTTTGGACGGCCGCGCCGCAACGAAATTCAAGGCTCCTCCTCGAGAATCTCGCCTCTGCGCGGCGCGGAATCGTTGAAATCGTTTACGCGTCCGCGATCGTTTCGATCTTAATGGACCACCGTGATCGCGCCGCGACTTATCATTATAGTAACCTTGAGATCCCACCAAGGTAATCGGAGGGATCTTCCACGAGCGGGCCGGCCGTTCTCTTTGTCTCGACGACTCGCGACAATCCGCGAACGTCGGAGAACATCGGTAGACGCAGAGAAGCGGTACGATTATATTCGCGAGATGAAGAAAAGCTCCAGCATGCCTCGATCAATAGGCGCACGGCCTTCGCCGGACTGACTTCCTCGCGCACGCAACGCGAGACGCGAACGCACGTCGCGTTCACCAAAAGGAACACGTGCACCTCTACGATAACGACGACAACGACGACGGTGATCAAGGATTAGTAGCTTGGTGATCGTCACGGGAGAGAGAGTCAACCGAGTCGAAGCATGTGATCTTCGCGGGGGTTCATCGATCATCACGCCGCTGAAGGAGGGATGTTGCGGCGGCACATCGGCAGGATGACTTAACGTCGGCCGATCCATGCGTGTCGATGGCCGATGCGAACAACGACGGGGTTGTCGGACGGTTGATGAACGATAACGGCGGCGTGTAGACAGGTGGGATATCGTTGACCGCGCGCAAGAAAGTGTGTAACGCGGGTCGCCGCCGTGGGAACGCGAGCGCGAGAGATAGGTAGGAAGCCACAGCACAGGTGGCGGTGGTAAGGACGGGGCAGAGTGAGAGAAAGAGAGAGAGAGAGAGAGAGAGAAAAAGGAAAAAAAGCGTTCGCTGTATTGTCTTAAGGGGCGAGACCTGCAAGGACTATGGGAGTATACAATGGAAGGATGTACATCATGTCAGTATAAGTGAATGACATTACTGAAGGGCGGAAAGAGAGAGTGAAAAGGAAAGAGAGAGAGAGAGAGAGAGAGAGAGAGAGAGAGAGAGAGAGAGAGGGAGAGAAAGAGAAAGAGAGATAAAGAAGAAAAGAGAAAGCAGAAAGAAACCCCAACAATGAAGGAACACGGCAACAAACAACATCCGGCGGAACCGGCGGCGAAGACGCTCAAGTCGCTGCTGAAGAAACCGGGCCAGACCAAGGCGAAGTCTCAGAAGCATCGAGTGGTGATCAACGAGAAGCTGAACGAGTTCTTCGCGGCGGACTACATAATACTGATAAAGGAGGAGTGCTGCGCCGATTACGAGGAGGATTGTGACTGCTGCTACCAGGAGCACGAATTTATGCGGCTGGGTAACTGCAAGGAGTGCCGGGCGGAATTGAACTTGCACTTCGGCATCGGCGCCGGCACCGGCACCGGCACCGGCAACGGTAGATACGGCGAGATGGCGAGGGGTGTAGAACAGGCGTTCTGCGAAAATGCCGTACGAGGAGATCATCGCGGTGGAGGGACCCGCGGAAAGAGTCAGCAGGATCGCGAGGACACGCAAACGGAGGAGGATGAGGAGGAGGATGAGGAGGAGGCCGACGATGGCGAGGAAGAAGAGGACGAGGAGGAGGAGCGGGAGGAGGAGGAGGAGGACGAGGAGGAGAACGTCGACGGGAAGGTGGAGAAGGTAGTGGCCGCGACGGCGGCCACCTCGGTCCAGGAAAGGAAGGACGCGAAGAACGAACGAGTGGATGCGGAGGACGCAACGAAAGGACGCCGGACAAAGGAGACCGCTACCGCGGATTCCCAGGAAGAGAGTGGAACCGTGGTTCCGCCGCCACCGCCGCCGCCGCGGCACGATCAGCAGCAGCAGGAAACACTTAGCCCGCCGGAAGGTTACAAAGACGTGTGCTCTGACAGCGAGATCGCCAACGAGACGGGGCAGCGTGGCCGCGCGTCCGCGTCCTCCGCAACGTGCACGGAGTGCAATTACTACCAGCAACAGGCACCGGGTAAGCCGACTCTAGTTGCGTTGTTACGTAATTTAGTTATTTTCTCGATTAATACCTCGATGACGGAAGACGTAACTTCCGTAACGTCCCCATAATACTATCATTTCTTCGCTTCGACTCTCGCGATGTATGTGGAGAACGAAGATGGACTCTACGTATGTAATGAAATTAAAATACCTTCTTACAGCGACGTTTTTTCCTATGCGGACTATTATGGTTATATTCAGTCTAAGTTGTAATTTACCTGTCGATTATCACACACACACATACACACACACGCACACGCACACACACGCACACACACACACACACAAAAGAAGCAATCTTCAATAATATCTTCAGTAATATATTGAAGGAAAAGCCAATTTTTTTTATTAGAAGCAATTATAGATGGATGATTGCGGAAATCGATTGAATGTTGCAATTTTGCTAACATGAGAATTTGAAAAGAAAAAGATGAATTCTTTGTATGTAACAAAAATAAAATATTTTCTTAGAACGACATTTTTTCCTACGTAAACGATTATTTTATAATCGTCTTATATTAATTCTAAATCGTGATTTATCTGTGGATTATCAAAATTCGATCTTTAATAACATATTGAAGGGGAAAAGCCAATTTTTTTTTATTAGAAGCAATTTATAGTTGGGCAATTGCGGAAATTGCTTTGCCTGAATATTGCACTTTTGTCTTGAGGATTTCGAATCTAATGAAGCTCTTTATATATATCTATATCTATAAATATTCCCTCAGTAGGGAATTAACTGCTCGCAAACAGCAGATCTCTTCAACTCCCAGATTCTCATTTAGATAATTGAAGATTAAGGCATAATCTCTTCTGTAATTGAATAAGAATATATTTTAGTAAAAATATCGTTACTTGATTAAGCGACATTTAATTTTTACAAAAGAACTAATTACTATTTTTGTTCATTTGCATGACTTTTATCTGTTTTGTAAATTTCATCTCTTTTTGTTATACGAAGAAGAAGAATAATGTTAAAAATAACATATAGTAAACATTATTGTATAATATAAAGATAATAACTTAAAATTATGTTAAAAATATGAGAAATGAATACGAATTCTCTACATAAATTTAAAGCAACACCAAAAAGCCATACAAATGTTCTTCTTGTTAAGGAAGAGAATAGTTTCATAATATTCTGCAACGAGCAGTCGCGTAGCACAAAAGCTTAACACAATGTAAACCATACTTGAAACTTTAACATCCAGAAAACTTTTGATACGTACCACCTTGCTGATTAGAGAAGAAAAGAAAATCTAATGCAGTCCGTTATTATCATCTAACAACCGTGTAAAATATTCATTTAAAACACTCGCAACATTAATCATTTGCGGTACCAAATCATAACGGATAGACTGCATGTTGTTCCTTCCTCTTTCCATCCCGATTCTTACGTCTATAATTTCCTCGAAAACTAGGCGCTATTCGCACTTCACTAGTTTATACACTAATTTCTATTTGAACAACGGTCCACGATTTCTATTGACAATATCTGATTGTGAATTCTTTACAGAGAAATTCGTTTGGAAGAATTTTATTTATCCATTTTGTTTCGAATATTCGAAAATTACTCTTATTGTAGAATCAAAGTGAATTTTTTCGGCTTCAAACAAGCTTTTTCTCTATGCCTATTGCGGATGTATATAGAATTTAATACTATTTATACTTTAAATGCTCAATTTGCTGCATACGTATTAAATCTATTACTTTTTCACTATTATTTACAATATAATATTTTTCCCAAAATATTTCTCTGTGACGTTCAATTTTAAAACATGGATATGTTATTAGATAGAATTCGAACGAAAATTATTGTTTGATAAATCAAGAGAAATATACTTTTCTTTCTAAAAATCGATTATATACATATATTTGAAAAATTATAATCTTTGTATACTTTTTTTATAAAACTGTTCTCGTAGAGAACTTTTGCGAAAAAGGAATAACTTCGGAACGTAATAACGTATTACACTTGCTATTATTGTAATAGAATAATAAAAAAAAACATGTTAATTTATATGCTACACTTATGGCATGTATGATGAAAGTAATGATGCTACATATCTGAAGTTAAATCTATCAGCTTTAATGGAAAGGTGCAAATTAGAAGAATTGCATCGTTGTTCAGCTCTTTTCTCACACATAACCGAGAAACAGTCCCACGATATCCCTTCACACAGGATGCGAATATAATAATGGTATTGTTTTTCATGAGTCTAGCCACGGTTGGTAAACCGTTTAAGAACATAGCAGGATTTTTATGCGCATTCTTTAGAAGAAGCTTAAAAGAGAAAAATATCTGAATCTATAAATATTCAGAATCATTCTATTTCGATAGTTACGACGTAACAGTTTCTTATAACGCTTTTTTTTTTTAAACGATAGTTAAAACACAGGCACTGAATCGTAAAATTTTTTTAAAGAAGCATTCAGTGTTTTTATCAGTATCGAAAGTTCATAGTTGCTGTCTGAGAGAAAATAATTCAAATAACATTTTTATAAACATCGGTAATCCGTATAACGCTGTCGTCCGTAATTATATTAATCGATTAAAAACTCTGATCAGGATCTATAATCGCGGTCACGCAAAATGCCAATGTATGTAGATATAGAATATAGGTTTATTCGTGTATATCAACGCTCACCGGAAGCGCGGCCTAGCGTAACTCCGGTACTTCCCCGGGAGATACTCGGTAAGAACACTTATATTTCTAACTAAACGGTTTGCGTTTTATGCTACGAAATAGTATGCCTAAATTTTCTAGGAGTCATATTAAACTAGGCACAGGTGTTTGGGGTTCTACAAAATCTCGAAGTTTACAACAAAAGAAGAATAAAAGATACTTAAAGTACTTTTTAGGGATTGTATTTTACATAACTTATAGTTCCCCGCATAAATTTCACACATGGGTTAAAGAAACTTTCAATGTATAATACATTAAATTCATTGAAACAACGTATTAGATTTATTGAAACGTCTCCGACACAAAAGTTCGCAATGTAAAATCTTTATTGTTCGTATGTACTTCAAAATTCGCAACAGGTTGCGATACATACGAATGAGAAGGAAAAATACATGCATCTTCTCCTAATGTGACATTTTTTAATAAATCACATCCAAGCTTGGACTCAAATATGTAGTAAAATTATACAAAGCAAATTATATGTAAAACAGACTTTTACGAACTTTTTCCATTAAATACATATTTTTTCTTTGACCTCAAGCAAAATTATTATCTTTGCTTGGCATAAGATCAAAGAAGAAATATATTTAATGGAAAAAGTCCTTTTTTAATTCTCGCAACTTTTGAAATACACGAAATCGCGATATTTCATGATATAATATTTTACCACTGCAAACTCTTTGGTAAGTCAGAAAACAAGCTTCGTTTTCTTGTGACTCGGTAAGTGATATATGGTAAAGCATTACGATATAGAGGAGTGCTAGACTAGAAACTGCAGAAGTTATTCCAAGCTGTCAATCGCTCGATACACACGGTGCGACTTTGAAAGTACATTAAACATCGATGGCCATCGCTTGGTTAGACCAATAACTATTCTAATTAGGAAACTCCTTCGATTTTGATAACGTTTAAATGAGAAGTTTCTCCTTTAGAAATACCACAATTCTATCGTCAAATTATTTTAAAAAGAACTCTTTTTTTTTACTTATAGATAAAATATTCATTTCTTTAATATAAATATTTCAATATAAAATACATGTATATCAAATATATACGTATCAAAATTTACAAAAATTGGGTCTTATTTAAAAAAAATTTAAATCTCGTACAGCCAGAATCCATTATGAGAAGTAGATGCAATCAATCTGTCTGAGATTTCACATAATTTCGTAAGGAAAATTGAACAGTTGAAGATTGACGAACGTACAGTCTTTATATACGTGTTTTTTATTTATTTATTTGACTTTATCTATTGTCGAATTTATTTTAATTTATGGACTATTAATATTTTTTCACGATAAAGTTTTCACTTGCAACTTAAGTAGTGCACGTTAATGAATGTATATCAAAAAGAGGGAAAAAAATGGCGTTCGATGAAATTTCCAGGAAATGAGAGGCTGGTTTTCTCTACCTGAGAAGTGATCTCAATAATCAAGGGAAAGTACGCGATTTCTGGCACACCATATATCTCTTCCGCGTATCTGCTACGACATCGTAATACACATACCTGATAACAGATAAAGTTTCTAGCGAGGTCTTAACGAGATACTGCAGTACAGAAATGGCATTTGTATCAGACACCTCGACTTCGCTTTTCGCGGCCATTAATATGGCAGATTTGACGCACTGCGTAACAAATTCTGCAAGGATCTCGTATTATCCAAAGATCGTTAGTGAGTTATAATATATAGTATACGTTTCACATATCATCTTTATTGTCTTGAAACATGTAATAAACACGCGTGCTTAATGGAGTCATAATAATGCGCATAATTGCGTAAAGGCGTGAGCTAAGACGTATGAGTTCGATCTTGCCTCTTATGTTCCAGAATGCGAATCGCAAACGAAGGATCGTGGGAATGAACAGGATACGCAGGGCAGCAAGGATACGGTGCACGACGGCAGTCAGAGAAATTTGCAAGAAAAACAGGATAAACAACATCGGGCATCTCATCCCGGTATATCTTTTTTTCATTTCAAATTACTTGAGTATTTTTATTGCGATTTATTTTTAGAAATACAATCTGTTCTGCAGGCAAACATTTATTTATGTCTTCGATTGCATCTAAAACAGGAAAACGCTACATGCTTTCAATCCTTACTATAATCCTCTTACCCTCTTCACAACTTTCAGGCTGCCTTTTCATATTTTGCTGTAAACTACTTTAACTCATTACCTATTGATATTCATTCTTCTTTCTCTGTTTGTACTTTCAGATTAGTTGCTTCTCGTATATAAGTGAATATATTATATCCATCTTAAGTATTGTATTCTTTAAGCCTCAGTTAATAATTTCTTTAATCGCCGATTACATTATTTATTCTATGAGCTCTTACATCTTTATATATCTGTATATATTAATGTATGTATCAATGTTTATGATCTTCTTTCTATTTATGTAAAGTTTTGTATCTGATTATATTTATTATCATCTATTATTCTATCATTTTTATTTATATTAAGTTGAACTAGAAGAAGAGAGTCTTTTTTTACGTAGCTTTCTGTAGCTTTTGTATTCGCATACATTCATTATTATTATTATTATTATTATTATTATCATCATCATCATCATTGATTTTATTGTCATTTTTAATTTTATTGATTACAATAAAGGATTGAGGCTTGTAAGAGCAGCATCGTTGTTAATGCTTCTTCTTTTGAAATGCTGCTCTCTAATATCTCATCTGTATGTAACATCTTTTATCTCTTGCGACTTTAATAAAGCTATTGTTATATTATAGTATTATAATATTGATGTAGTTCATGTAACGATCTTTAAAAAATATTATGAGGCATTGTGTAATGCGGAACGCAAGTATTTCTTTTACATAGATAATTCATAACTATGTAACCGATGATCATTAATTTCGAAAATGACATAAATGAAGATGCGGAAGACGATAAGTTCGAGTAAATTAGAGGAGGTGCACGTATCGATCTAACTAACGCTTTCAATGCAGCATGCAATATTCGAGATAAAAATTTTATATGGTAAAATGTTATCTCGCGTACTAAACGAAAGCGTTCGAAATTTCATTGCGCGTTCGCGGTGCATTTATTTTTCTCGTTTGATTCAAATATACGGTAACTTTGTTCCTAGATCTGCACCATCGTTATCTCGTGGAAACAATAACGATGACGACTGTTACGGAGCGACGCATCGTGCGGGAAATTAGCGAGGAGGAGCGAAAGGATTGCTTCGGGCGATCCGATACGGATAAAGATAAAAGCGTTTGCGATGCCCCAAAGGATAACGGTTTTAATCCGGCGCTTTGTCCCGGGACAGGCGACTCGTCGATCGTTCACGAGAACGCGGCGCAGTTCACCACACGGTGTAACGACTCGGACGTCACAGAGGATCGTGAAGGTAATGCAAACGCCAAAAATTCGACGGGCAACGACAAAAGAGTAGCGACGACGGTGGAAGCGGAACGCATCAGCGATCAAACGGCAACGAGCGAACAGTCGCGCGAGCAGGACGCGAAAGAGCTGTCCCTCGTTTTCAAACTGGGCAACGTGTCCCTCGCTAGTAACAGCTTGAAGCCAAATTCCGCGGTGATCCCCCCCCCCCCCGCCGGTACCGGCTAACAAAGTGAACTCGTCGACCGGCTCGGAACACTCTCAGGATGAAGCGCAGAAGTTTCTGATTACCGCCGAGAGTCTGCGGCTGTTCGATGCGGTTAAAAAGTCGACGGTCCCTGGTGGCTCCTACGAGTCGCCAGAATGCGAGTCCAGAGAGTCGATCAAGAGATCCATTGAGCGGAACACTCTGCGGCGTAGTCTGATCGGCAAGTACAACACGGTAACGCGTAAGAAGAATCTGCGGCCAAAAAATCTGTCGCTGGAGGAGCGAATCAGGCAACTCACGTGCGTCGATCAGGACGATGAGAACCTGGACACGACCGATAGCTCTGACAATACGAATTCCGCGAGCGATCCCAAGTACGGTGGAGATCTCTCGATACGAACGTCGCCATTGGGTGAGGAACGGCCTATGTGCGAGTCGCTGCCGGCGAGTGTAGCCTCGACGGAAACCACTGCCATTTTAACGATGGTGTCGACGAGATCGAACTCCTTGACGGCGGCGACGGCGGCAACGACGACTACGGCAGCTGCGGCGGCGGCAGCGGCGGGCACAACCGGCGGGGCCGCCCCCGAAA